ATAATATAGGAGTTACCTATAATCTCGAAGCTGTTCAGAATCGTTTTCTTCGTTTCTTAGCATTTAAATTTAAAGTCGAACGTCCACGACATTCAGATTATAATGGAATATTATCATATTTTAATATACAATCGCTAAATTCAAGGAGAAATATCCTTCACTATTTATTTTTATTAAAACTACTAAATAACTCAATAGACTGCCCTTATTTATTGGAACGATTAAATTTTCGAATAAATACTAAATTCACCAGAAATCAAGAAAGTTTTATAATTAATGATGTTTCCAAAACATACTTAAAATCATCACCTACAAATATACTGATGTCTATAGGAAATACTATGGATATTAATTTTAGTTAATATAATTAATTATGTATGTTATAGAATTTTATACCTCATATTTTGTTCTTTATTATATAATTGATTGTGAATTTTTATATTATTTGTACTTAATTTAATTGTATCTGTGTCACTACACGATTTTATTTATATATATTTGTATTGTAAATGGAGTTTTTTTCCGTCAATAAAGATAATAATAAAATCTAACATTTTTATTTTTGTTGGGTACAGCTCTGGAATGATCGAGAATATTTTCGATCATTCGATAATGCACCTGTGTCACCGCGACAGCACTAGAATATTCTAGACGCGGTATATACGGGCCGGGTTTTTAATTTTTATTCACCGTGTCTTATTGAGTTGGTAAGGTCCGCGTAATTTGTTGTGTGATCTTTTACGTTGATATTTGTCGCGTAAACCTTATTACCGGCTGTTACGGTGGCGCAGTACGTGGTAAGAGTTTTGTTCACTTTAATATGCTTATTGTTTTTTTATTGGTATAATTTAATTTCTAAATATTATAATTATTGTATTGTAATTTTGTACAATTATTATTTTGATATATTTTATAACTTATATTGAATATATTGTCTTGGTTATATTTCAAATCCATTCTTTGTATATATGTTATATGTATATTTTTAATTAAACACATACAGTCCACTTGTCGTTAGACCTATCCATCAAAAGCGTGGTTACCCCGAACAACAATTTGCTAGGGACATCGTTAACAATTTTCCTTCCGATATACCAACCCATTACGAAACTCGAATAATTTACAGGTCCATATCCCCGGTATCCCCACTTTGAGCTTTCGTAAAAAACCTGGGCTGATCATTTGTACTCTGTTTATACCGCAAAAGTCGTCGTTTGTACCGAAAGCTGTAAAAAGTTATAAAAGTTTTAAGTGAAGCATGACTCCAGCACCCCCACTTTGTGGGTTGTTATAAAGAAATCGGGCATAATATGACTCTTTTACCATTCAGCCAACGCACTTATCGCAACATTTACCATGAGATCCTAGTTAATTTTTGGTTTTCATAAATTCGAAAAATATTTTTTTAAACACCATTGATATAATAGCTTTGAGTAGAAGGTCCATTGGTCTTGCAAATATACCTAATCCTCTCACGAAAATAACTATAAATAGATAATTTATAACATATACAATATATACATATTAAAGTATAACTGTATGTCAAAAACTTTAAATTAAAAAATACTATTTTACTTCAAAATTATTTTATATTTTCTACTGGAAAATTCAGGAGATTATCATTTATCAACTTAAAGAACTTACATAGTTTGAATCAAAATTAAGATCTTATCTTTATTTATTATTAGTATCTATACTGAAGAAAAATATTTAAACAAATCTACATAGAAATAAAAATATCTGAATAAAAAATCTATGTTTAATTAAAAAGTTTTTCAATTTAAAAAAATAAAATAAAATTTATTTTAACAATTATAAATTTTTTTTATTATATTTATATTTTTTATTAAATTTAGATTTATTTCTGTAGTTTTTATTTTTTTTAATATATTTTTTATTAAAATACAAATCATCCATAAATCTAAATTTGATAAAAAATCTGCATTTAATAAAACGTGTAAATATAATAAAAATGTATTTTTTTAAATCAATTTTGTTTCATAAAAAAATTTCTATCAAGTTTTATTTTATTTTTTTAAATTGAAAAACATTTTAATTAAATATAGATTTTTTTATTGCGATATTCTTATTAGGTACCGAAAACTTATACTCAAAACAGGTATTATTTTATTTACGACACGGGATGTCTATTTGGACGAACCGTATCAACTGGCGCCCTACTAGTGACAAGAAGAGCACGATTCCGAGATAAAAAAAAAAAAAAAAAAAAAAAAAAACATCAAAATGGTCAAAAGCAATACAGTACGAATCCAGTCAGCTGGAGAAATTGGTGCAACAATTACAACACACCGTGCAACTACAGCGCAAGTTATACAACAATATATTCTCAGAAATACAAAATATAAAACAATCAACGGAAAACAGTAACACGATGAAGCAAATAATTAATGATATTGACACAAAATTACTTATTGAATCAGAGAAAAGGCAAAAGCAAATACAGAATGTAAAAAGTATAAAACAAGAAGAGATAAACTGCAAAGTAAACAATATTGATATACCTATGCCGACATTCAGCGGGGAAACAACGCAACACCCGAAGACTTTCTTAAGGAGTTAAACTCATATTTAACTCACAAAAATATAAGGCGAACCGACAGATTAATCGTGATTGAGAATTGTTTGAAAGGAACCATGGTAAAGTGGTTCACAATGATTAAGGATACAATGCCAAACAATACCTAACAGAATAAATGTTCAGAACATTATTTCTAAAACATTTTTTTTATGAAGATAGAAAATGGGATATTTTTACGGAAGCAGGAAAAAAAACTAATAAAAAACAATTTTCAAGAACATTTCCATTTTTGGATGGCTGAATTAAAATATTTGGATTCTCCAAAAATGAATGAATTACAGGCAATCAATTTCATCACAAAGCATTTCCCTATAGCAGTTCAAGCTTACATACAAACTACACAAGAAAAGAAATTCTTAGACATTTGGGAAAAACTAGGAGAACTAGAAACAGGACAAAATAAATTAAATCAAGATGAACAAAACACATCAACTGGCAAACAAAATATACAAAGATATAACATGCGGTATGATCAAACACCGACCAGAAACAACCAAATACAAAACAACTTCAATCAGTATGGACAAATACAAAAATACAACAACCAACCAAGAGCATCAACGAGTAGATATGAACAAGCAAATCGAGTTTCGAACTCGCCGATGGGACGAAAAATGTCACAGCAACCGACACAGAATGTTAATATGCAGCAACAACAATACGGACAAAAAGCGGTAAAACAAATATCATTACACGACGAAGAGGAAAACCATGAAAATGAAGTAGATACAGAGGAGGAAGAAAGTGAAAACCAAAAAAACTGGGAATAGGGGATTGCGGGGGGAGATCGATCGCAATCATAAAAAACCCAGATCCAAAACTATCAGTAGAAAAACAACAGTCAAGCAAAATATTAATATTAAAAGCCTCGGAATTATTACAAGATGAAGATTATGACATAGAATTAAAATAAACTGCTAAAAAAGGATGTCCATATATAAACATAATTATAAAAAGTATGAAGTTCTGATAGATTCTGGAGCGGAAATAAGCGAAATATTGGGAGATTACTTGGAACAATCTATAAAAGATGATCCAAAGACACCAACGATACCACTGACAGGATTATGTATTCATAATGCAATCGGAGACAAAGCAACAAAGGTATCGAAGCAAATACTTGTACCGATAGAAATAGAAAAAAATACAATTTTAACACCATTTATAGTCGTAAAAAACTTAAACGAAAAAGGCATCATAGGTAACGATTTTTTGGAAATGTATGAAGCATCAATCGACTTTGGTAATAGAATCTTGACATTGAACATCAACAACATAAAAAATAAAATACAATTACTAGACAAAATTCGATACACTTAAGAACAGTCTCAACCAAAGTTATTATGGAACCATCAATGACAGACAAACAAATAGTATTACCAAACGAATTACAGAAAAAATTAGACCACCTGTTGAACCAGTTCCCGGAATTGTAGTGATTTTAAATATGATTATTATTATTATTATTATGTTGAGTATTATTCTGTGTTATCGCCGTGCGTTGTGCAGACCACAGATTAACAGTCTATGTTTTGATTGTTCGATTTACTTTTTATTATAATATTATTTTGTATATGTTGTCGTCGTGTGTCGATCGACGACTCGAACCGGCCACGACGATAAGGATTATTTTTTTTATACATTTTTATTATGTCTGTAGTATTGTCWTGGCAGTCTGTCTACACTCGTTTGCCGAGTAGGCCGAGTAGGACACTTTATTACAAATGTACGGATTTTATGTGTATGTAATTGCAATTATTATTTTTTTTTTTTTAAATATACATTCTGACGAACATTTTAAATGAAGGTGACCACTCTCCCATCAGAAGTATTTAGTGAAGTGCCAATAAAAAAAAAAAATTATGCCTGTAAAATAAGACTGAAAGACGACCGACCAATAATTAACCAAAGACCATACCCTATACCAGGTGTGGCCAACCTTTTTTTATATTGTGCCAAATAATGTATACAAAATTGAGAATGTGCCTTAAAAAATATTTATTTCTTTACAGTTTACAAAGTTTACATAAATATAAATTTTAGATTTTTTTCATAGGTACTATTTTTATTACAGTTCATTTGCAATGTTTTTTTTAATGATTAGGTATGTTGAATTTGCTTCATAGATATTATTTCTTCATAATTTGGTTTAAGTTTAGTTGAAGATAGAAGCATTACATTTTTCAAATGAGAATTTGTTAGTTTGGTTCTATACTTATTTTTAATGAAAGTCATCCGCGAAAAACTTTTCTCACATACATATGTAGAGCCAAATCTGCAAACCAATTTCATCGCTACATTATGTAATTCTGGAAAATCTTCCTCGGGTAGGCATTTCCAAAAATCTATTATCTCAGATGACTCATTATATTTGCATTTTAAAACTGTTGAACTTTGAAGTTCAATAATTTCCAATTGCATATTAGGGTTATATTTTTGGAGATCGTGTGTCTCTATGATAAATGGATTAATAAATAAGTTATTTAAATCTTCTTCTTCTTTAAATTTGCTGAATCTTTCTTGAAAATTATCATTCAGTGATGAAATATGATTTTTAAAAATCGTCATTGGAATATCTGTCGGTAGATAAATAGATTTTAACTGCAATTACAGAGTTACATACTAAACATGTCGGTCTAGATTTTTTCCCTTCTATACATAAAAAATTTTCTATCCATTCTGTATTAAAAATTCATGAAGAAATATCATCTTTATAACTTCGTTTTACGCCTAAACCTGAAGTTCCTGGTTTATTAGATGCCATTTCACGATCACACACACTACTCGTTAACGCACGGGCACGGCGATTCTAATACGACTAACTTTATTGTAGTAATCTAGTACTCACGAACCGTAACAATTCTCTTATAGGAATAATAATCGGAAAATTCCACTGCGATAATATAATTTWATTTAATAATACTTATTTTTAAAAATTATATATTATTTTATCTGACTCTAGTGTGCCATTCCATAACAACAAATGTGCCACAAATTGCACGCGTGCCGCAGTTTGGCCACCCATGTCCTATACCAATAACAAAAAAATAAGCAGTAAAGAAGGAGATAGACGCCATATTTGGTAAATTCAAAGAAATAAAATGTATGAGTACACTAGATTTGAGATCTGGATATTGGCAATTACCACTGGCAAAATAAAGTAGTGAAGTGTGCTCATTTTTGGTAGACGGTCGAAATTACTCTTTTAAACGCATGCCGTTCGGATTGAACATAAGTTGGTCGGAATTCCAGAAGAGTATGGACCAAGTATTAGGATCACTTCTACAGACATTTGTAACGATATACGTGGACGACATACTAATAAAATCAAGGGATGAAGAGAGTCATTACGAATTATTTAGTATGGATTTTTGTATGTACATTATTCTACTGAATAATACTTAGAATACCTCATAAGTTTAGTTTTCATATCTTTCATAATCGCAGAGTTATACGTAGCTAAAAATTACAGGTCTTTTGTGATTTTAATTATTGGCAATTTGTAATTTTACCATCAAGTCTAAATTAGGCATAAACTCACTAAAGATTATATAAATAATTTAAGAAGTCAGTTTTTTTTAAGACAAAATGGAAATAATGTAGTTTAATAATAATAATAAACAACAATGAAATAAATGTCACGTTTATGTAATTAATTAATAAGATTTTCAAATTGTTTCCCACCTGACTGCAACCAAGCTTGAGCTCTAAATGAAACACTTTGTGTAGTCCTTTGTATTTCTAGATGATTTTGTCGTTTTTATTCTGCTGCGATGTCAATACGTTCTAATAATTGTTCACGACTTTCAATGACAACAGCATACACTTTCTGCTTCATGTATCCACAAAAATTAAAATCCAAAGGCGTTAATTCAGGAGATCGTGGCGGCCAAGCTATTGTACCACCACGCCCAATCCATTATGGGTAATGTGCATTCAAAAATTGACGTACTGAACGAGCAAAGTGTGCAGGAGCGCCATCAAGTTGAAACCACATTACTTGGCGAGTTGCATGTGGTACATCTTCTAAGAGTACTGGCAATATATTATCTCTCGTAAAATTCCAAAAAAATATCTTGATTTAACCGATTAGGTAAAACATAGGCGCAATTTCAATAAAAAAAAAACTAAGGGTGCTTATGCTATGCATTTTTTTTTGAAAGAAGTTTTTAATACATAAGCATGATCATTATTTTAGGGTGCTAATTTTAAAATTGGAGGTGCTCATACCCTAACTAATCGTCTATCATTCCGGCCCAAACATTAATTGAAAATAGATGTTGAAATGAAAATGGCCATACAACGTGAAAATCACAAAAGACCTGTAATGTTTAGCTGCGTATAACTCTGCAATTATGAAAAATATGAAAACCAAACTTATGAGGTATTCTAGGTATTATTCAGTAGAATAATCTACATACAAAAAAACCCATACTAAATATTGAATTATTTTGAGTAATACGGGATTTATTTTTAAAAATCCAACTTTTGATAAAAAAAATTTACTTTTTTCAATTTAATAATAATAATTTACATAATTCTGGTTTAATTGCGTATGTTGGTTGATAGGATAATTAAATAGCTTTAAAATAAATAAAAAAATTATGTTAAAATGTTGAAAAGTTTCGGAAAAGCATAAAAAAATCCGTGGTAGGTTTGGTTTAGTTTAAAAAAAACTTAAATTTACGAATAACTTAACAAATAAAAGAGTTAGACCCCCCACTTTGATTCATAAGTCTTTGGAAAGTTGCCGGAGCTCCTTTCAGTCCAAAACACATTCTGTTGAACTCAAAATGGCCCTTTTCGGTGCTAAAACCTGTTTTTTGTCTGTCTTCCGGTCGCATTGGAATTTGATGGTAACCACTCGCCATGTCTAAGCAAGAGAAATATTTTGCATTTCCCAA